AAGTACTTTAAAGCACATAAATTAGTTACCCGGGCAATTGAATCAATTAGCCAATCAGATGAATGTCGGCCTATGAGCTCTGCGCTACGTTTTTTGTTCGTGTAACGGGACTTATCCAAAAATAACTTGTAGTAAACGTTAATACACGTGATGCACAAATTGCAAACGGTTTCTCAAGTGCTAAAAATTGCAAACGATTTCTCAAGTGCTAAAAAATTGCAAACGACGCTTAAAAAAAAAAAAAAAATTATATCAAATCGATAAAAATACTTTTTTAATAATATGAAAAGATTGATATTTTAGAAATGGTTGTTGCTACTCATTTCGTTCAAAATCGAGTTAAACCTTTTTATATTTACTAATACAGTAATTTCAATGCTAACCATAAACTAAATATAATTTAAATTAAATTAAAATAGCTAAAAAGAAACTTTGAAAGAAAGTTGGAAATAATCTATTTTAGTAAAAATAAGAATATAAATTAAAGATTAACCAATAAATACATCTAATTAATTAACAACTTTGTAATCATAGAATATTTGATCTTATTAGAATTACGAATTAAAAATTTGATCCACCAGGAATAGGATTTTACCAATCATAGACCGCGCAAGCATTAATTGATGCGTCGTTACAGTTAGAGATACATTTCCCACCATTTTCTAAATCAAAGGCCCATTTATGCTTAACACAAAAAAGTTTTGAACCTATTACTACGCCCTATAAAATAATAAATAAAAAGAAAAGAGTTGAGAAAAACATACAGCATAATTATTATATTTATAGTAAAATTCAGTGTGATGCTTACCCGGGCATTAAGGTCAGTTTTAGCATGTGGACACCATCTATCTACCTCATAAATTTTACCAGAAGAAGTTTTGACTTTTATCCTATTACCATCACCAATAATTTTTTTGTTTGGTGGAGGCATATAATATTGATTATCTTGAACTTGAGAAGTAGGAGGAATAGATTTTAGAGGAGACCTATCAGAAATAATTTTCTGGGTATTTACTTCAGCACTAGTTTGAGGAGCTTCATAAGGAATATAATCATCCAAAGTTGATTGATCAAAAGTTTGAGGAGCTTCATGAGGGATAGGATCATCCAAAGTTGATTGATCAAAAGTCTCAGAAGCTTCATGAGAAATAGAATTCAAAGTTGTCTTATTAGAAGTCTGAGAAGCTTCATAAGGAATAGAACCCAAAGTAGGCTCATTAAAATTTTGAGGAGCTTCATAAGGTATAGAATCTAAAGTCGACTTATTAAAATTTTGAGGAGTTTCATAAGGTATAATAGGACTCACAGATGATTTATTAAAAGTCTTTGATAATTTCGGTTCATTTGATGGGTGATGATGATGAAATTTTGAAATTAAATTATTAAGAGAAACTTTTTTTGATAATTTTTTTTTAGGTCTTTGATTATCTATTGAATCATGAATAATTTTTTGGTTAGATTCACGATTAATAGCTTCACGACATAAATCTTTAACAATCGGTAGTAATTCTATATCCTAAAATTTAATAGAAAAAGTGATTAACAAAAAATAGAAAAAAAAAAGAATAATAATAATAATAATAAAGTATTGAATAAATAATAACCCTCCAGCTCTCATTTGATAATGTACGTAGGTCCTTTATTGTGAAAATTCGATTATTGGTTAAAACAAGTATATCCGAATTAATTTGGCTTTCAGGCCAAGAATGTTCTACACCTATTTGTCTAAGCATCATGTCGACCCCCTGAAAAAAATAAGTCGGGTTGTAAAATGATAGTATAAATTACGGTTTACAAATATTCCAATGGAGTAATTCCAATGGAGTAGAGATTAAGAAAATCTCTACCCGGGGTATTATTAAATTAACCGGTTATCCGGGTAATTTATTATAGCCATATAATAAAAATGTCTACCCGGGTACAAGGAGTATAATTCAATAATTGAAATATCAGTACAGAAATGCACTTGAAGAAAACTCATACCATGTTATCAGGTAAAGTGAGATTTTCGGGATTTCTGCCGCCTTAAGTGAACAATTATATTAGAATAAGTCAAAATATATATCAGAAAAAACTTAAGAATGTAACATTAAAGAAACATCTTACTATCAGAAAAATGTGAACCAGATCTTGATGATTTTTTTAACATAATTGATAAACTGAAATTATAAACCAGATTTGAAGGTTAGATTTCACACTTTTTTATGAATTTTATATACACTGGCAATCATAAATAATGCAACACGTGATTATTTTTATAATAAAACATAGTAACTTTAGAAATTTTCATCTATGATAAAAATTTTTAACAAAAATTTTTATCATAGATGAAAATTTCTAAAGTTACTATAAAAATAATCACGTGTTGCATTATTTATGATTGCCAGTGTAGTAAAACTTTAGAAGAAATTCACCAATTCTGTTATCTCATTAAAATAAAGATTAAAACGTCAACTGTAGGTTAAGGCAATATAAAATTAATTGAATTGTTTCTCATAACCCGGCCGGAACGGCTTTATGTAAAGTTCAATACGAAATTTTATAAGTTATTTATTTTTGAAAAAAAATGAAAAGCCGGCCGGGACGCATTAAAATTTATGAGAAACAATTAATTAATTTTATGCGCTAATAAAATTTCATATGTCGATGATTTAAGGAAAATAATACTATTTCAAATCGAAAAAAACAAGCTATTTAAATATTTTTTTTATACTATTACATACAATTTTGTACAGTTTATTTTTCTGAAGAACGTGTTATCAAATGATATTCAGGACAATCTGATCTCTATTATGCGATGACGCAAGTTAAAATTAAGGGATAAATAATTGATGTGCGCAAAATGTGGTAGTTCATTCGAATAATAGCTGAATTGAATAATTAGAAATTGAATAATTAGAAATAGGACTGATTCAAAACCATAGTGCACAATTAAATAAGATTACTGTGAACTAGCCAGTAAAAACATTCTAATAAACAAAGTCAGTAAAAACATTAACCTAATAAACAAGTCAGTAAAAACATTAACCTAATAAACGTTAAACATTACAAGGAACGACTGAAATATTTAAATGTATATATATATAAATTTTTAATATTAATACAGAGCATCACATAATTCAAAAATTTTTTTATTCATCTAAAACTAACGCTAATATATATAGTAATAATAATTCTATTATAATATATATATAATTCCATATTGTAATTCCGAACTGCATCAATTTCTTGAATTGCTTTTAACCAATACAGTAATTAAAATCTGATAGTGATTTAAACTTGCATAATACTGTAATATCGGCAATAATATATTACGACAGGGTGAAGCAAGTGAAGCAAGTGGTTACGTTATTGATGCAGATCACTACCTATAATAGGGAACGTCTAAAGCGGAGGCAACTCATATTTTCGAATTAAAAGAATTCTATATTAGGGGAACGTCTAAAGCGGAGGCAACTCATTTTCTAATTAAATATTAGGGGGACGTCTAAAGCGGAGGCAAATCATGTGACCAACTTCCAATCAAATTATAGAATTTCGATGATCGCCGGCGAAGCAAAGCAAGAAATAAAAACAGCTAAACCTACCTCGGGTGGGAAGGCAAGTTTGCTTATATGTAAGTATATACTATTAACTCTAATATAGAATTCTTTTAATCCTAAAATTAATCGAAAATATGAGTTGCCTCCGCTTTAGACGTTCCCTATATTAGGGTTAAGTTAGGTTTTTAGTATATACTTACATATAAGCAAAATTGCCTTCCCGACATTTTTGATTAACTTACCCGAGGTAGGTTTAGCTGGTTTTGTTTTTATTGCTTGCTTTGCTTCGCCGGCGATCATCGAAATTCTATAATTTGATTGGAAGTTGATCACATGATTTACCTCCGCTTTAGACGTCCCCCTATAATAGCAACTACCCTATCACTAATCCTAACTAAGTAAGATCTGCATCAACAACGTGCGCGGGTTTCACCCTTTCATAATATATTCATTTAAAATTAGATCATTACTATGGATTTTAATTAGTAATGATTATAATTTTATTGGTTCATACAAAGGATGTGCAAATCAGCTCATTAGAGGTTCATTTTATTATTCATTTATTATTCATTTATTAGTAATATTGCCACAATCATGTTCCTGATCATTAATTATTTAAATAATTGTCTTCACAATATAAATCTTAAAAAAGGAAATCCGATATTACAGTATTTGGCACATAAAATACGAATTTGAAGTTAGTGTTCGAAATTAGTGTTCTCAGAGTCTCATGAGAACACTATTTTAGATTTTTGCATAGTATAAATTTTTTACTGTTCATTATTAAAAATTTTTTGAGAACAGTAAAATAATAATAATGTTCTCATAAGTATGTAGAGTTGAGTCAATTTAAAGCAAACAAATATTTTTTTTTTAAAACTTTAAACAAGAATGACAAAAAAAACTTAATCAAACTTAATAAATTTTTTAAATTAATTCTACAAGTTTGTAACAATTATTTAAAAATGTTTTTATTAAAATTGTTTCTTGTTTAAAGTTATAAAAAAATTTTTATTAAATTCGGTTAAGGCTTTGTTAAGTTATTCTTGCTTAAGTTATTCTTGTTTAAAAATATAAAAATTTGCTTGACCCCATATAATAAACAGCTGTATAACGTTGTCATACCAGGTCAGAACCCGATAAATATACCGTATTTAATAATAATACAACTATAGCGAACTATAGCGATAGTATGTATATATTTTCTAATTTACGGTTTTCTTTCTTTTTTTGGTGAACATAAAATTGTACCTTGAGAACACCTACATCTATTGCACTGTTCTCATGAGAACAGTATTTGGATCTGAAATTTCGAATATATGTTAGACGTCACTTTCAAATTTCCGTCAATTAAAAAATTGACATACAGTAAAATTTATACCGATTAATATCGTACGCCAGTTAATGTATGGTTTAATAAATACTGTGGGTGTTCTCAAGCATCAATCGAGATGTGATCTAAATAGTGCACAAGCATTATGACGTAAATTTAGCTATTGCCATAACATTTTGGATAAAAGTCAATAATACGAATATGCTCAAACATTGCTATTAACTATAATTGTAGTGATGTAGTATAGTTTATCGAAAATTAAGTATGAAAATACTTGAACAATTCATTTTAATATTTATAAAGGTTTGATAACGATAAGTCAGCGCAAAAAAAAAAGGTGGTTAGGGACTGAAATGGTAAACTCACCGAACATTTTTTACTATTTAAACCTTTTTTTCACGTAATAAAATCGATTAAAATTACTTCCGTTAATTGATCCATTAATTGAGGCGCTTGAGAACGCCCTGTATATAGAAAATTTCTTTACAACATGGCTTAGAATACTTAACGTTAATTAGTTTCAAACCTCTGAAAGAGTTATTGACAACTATATGAATAATCGAAAAATCGAAAGATCTATAATGGATCATTCAAATTACAGTCAGACCTCCCTAAATGCATATGTTTTACAAAACCCGCCAAGTAAACACGAAAACCCAAGCTTTAAATGTATAATTAAACAAGAAACTGAATTATTTGAAATGAACAAAATTTCTGCTGTAGTTGTAAGTAATTAAAATAATAATAATGTTACAGTAATAATAGTATTATAATATTAAATTATCTCCTAATTTAGAATCCTGACAATAATATTTCGTAATGGTTGGAACAATCGGTCAGGCTACTGAATCTCAGGCAAAAGCTTTTCATGAAGCTGCTGATATTGCTTCGATTATAATAAATAAAATGGATGGTCATGCAAAGGGTGGCGAGACTATCAGCGTAAGGCATTGATTGGTATGAATTTATATTGTGCTCAAAAACACAAAGCGCGGTGAACATATTCATGATTTGGAAAGATTTGAACCTAGACGATTTGTACAAAAAATGCTGCGTTAGTTTGGTCTTTTATTTTTTGTGGATATTTTTTAAATTCTCTACCAGAATTATTATACGACCTACATTTACTATTAAAAAGAAAAATAATAATATTTATATTTATTGAATTATAATAGACAGTATGAGTGAATCGGAGCTTGATTCTAATGGTAAAATTTTTATACAACAGCCTGCTCGCGTACTGCGTGTGGCACAAGGTTCCGGTACATCTGTTAGAGAGGTTGAAGAGCTTTTGGTTCAACATAAGGAATTTCAAGGAATGGTTAAAACGTTTGGTGGCAACAAAGGATTGCTCAAAGGTAAAAAAAATAATTATTATATTTGTTTTACATAATCTTATATTAATGTTAAAATACCATTTTTTTTTTTATGTTTAAAGAGATGGATTCCGGAATGGAAGCAAAAACGTCTCCTCAACAATTACAACAGAAAATGGCACAAATACAGAGGGTAAGACGAATATTGCTATTTAAATTAGTTTCTAAAAAATTTATTAAAAATTTATTATATTTTTTATATTTTTTCAGATGCTTCCTCGTGGTATGCCGGGTGTGAACAATATGATGCGGCTAGAGTTTGGAATCAGATTCGACCTTCGAATTTAAATCCGATTTCCTTCGGATTCGATTTAAATTTGGATATAAAATCGAATCTACCGAATCTGCAATACTCATATTGTCTGTACAAACGCATATGGAACAAAAGTATTTGACCACCTATAGAATTTCTATAATGATAAAATAGTTTTTATCCTTAAGTGATCGAATGTTTTATCACGTAAGTATAATATATACATACAATGATGCTACTATTGTTATTTTTTGAATTTGACCAATAAAGTAATTGTTGGAATAAATTCGGATTTAAATCCGAAGCAGAAATCACTAATTAATATAAATCCGGATTCAAAAACAACCGGTTCCAAACTCTAGATGCGGCAGATGGTTAGTTGTATTTCAAATGTAATTATGCTATTATTCTCATTATATTATTAATGATTTCTTTTTTTGTATATGGGTATGCCAGATTTAAGTCAAATGCAAAACATGATGAAGCAGATGGGTTTTGGTGGTACGCCAAATATGGGAAATCGACGATAAGGTTGTTATTATTAGTGTTTAACAATGTTGAGTGGACTTGAAGTAATGTCTATTTTACCTTTTTTTTTTTAACCGTTTAAAGTAATAATTATATATTTTTTAATATATTGAATTT